ATGAGTGAGTACATACCATAACTGTCTTTCTGGGTTTAGGTTACCTCACTCAGGATGATTTTTTCTAGTTCCATCCATTTGCCTGCAAATTTCATGCTTTCATTGTTTTTCTCTTCAGCATTCTTTTAGTCTGCTCACTCTGCCTATACTTCCTGCTTGGCTACTGGTCAATCAGTGTTTTATTAAACCAGTGTACAAAAGCATTATCTCATAGCAGTTGTGAGTTGCCTGAAGTAAGTGCTGGTAACTGCACTTCAGTCCTCTGGAAAAAGTAAATCCTTGTAACTACTGAGCCATCTCTCTATTCCCCTCCCCCCTCCTCCTCTTTTCCTCACCCCCTTCTTTTATTCTGAAAGAGTCTTATGTCTTCTAAGTTGACCTTAAACTGCTCTTGCACAATACATAGGTTTGGTTCACAACTGTCTATAACTTCAGTTCCAGGGGATTTGATATCCTCTTCTTGTCTCCTTGGGCACTGCACACACATGTTGTATGTATACATGCAAGCAAAACAATCATACATCTTGAAAAGAATGTTGGGGCAGGGAAGAATATTTGTCTTGTTTGAACGAGATTTTTTAAGTTCTGAATGAGAAATTGCTTGTGGTCTCTCTACTTTTCCCTTTCCCCCCATCTCCTTCTCTTTCCTTAATAACCTGGCTTTTGCTAGCTGTTCTTTCCTGACTTTTCTCTTAGCTCATTCTTCAAAGACGAGTGTACATCAACAGTCTTATTAAATAAGAAACACAGAGCCAAATTCAGAGTTAAAAGCCCAAGAGGTCAGAGCAGTAGCTAAGAGCTAAAAATCCTTTCTTACCCTTCACTGCCGCTGCTGTCCTTCCCCTCAGCAAGAGACCTACTTCCTGTGTGTCTGTCCTTTTATTGACTTTCTGTTCTGCCTTCTCATTGGTTGTAAACCCAACCACATGACCTCCTCTTCACTGCCTGTCTATACAGACCTCCAGGTCTTCTAAGGTTGGTATTGAGATTAAAGGCGTGTGTCTTCATGCTGGCTGTATCCTCGAACTCACAGAGATCCGCCTAGCTCTGCCTCCCAAGTGCTGAGATTAAAGGCGTGTTCCACCACTGCCCAGCTTCTGCTATTAGCTCTGATCCACAGGCAACTTTATTTATTAACATACAAATAAAATCACATTTCAGTACAAATAAAATATCACCATAGACGAGAGGCCAGCAAGATGGCTCATCTGGTCGGGGTGCTTGCCAGTGAACCCAATGATTTGATTTTGATTCCCATGATCCACATGCTAGAAGGAGAAAACTGAGCTGCCTGACTTCCATGGTATAATGGCTTGTGTGACACACACACACACATGCGTGCACACACACATACACAGGCACACACACATGCATAAATAAGTGTAAAAAATTAAATACTATATAGATATCCTTGTCTCCTCATTATTCTTACACACCTTTCTTCCAATTAGAGAAAGCAATAGGAAACCTGAATGAGGTTTATCTGTTGACCCAGTTCCCTTGTGCCAGACACTGTTGATTGGGAGTGTGCAGACCAGTTGCAGAACACTTCTGTCCTTCACATGTCCCCAGCACTTAGTCCAGGACCTAGTACAATAAGGACTGTGGAGCTGTGAAAAATCGGACAGATGAGGCCCATTCTAAAGATGCAGCCTTTTTAAGAACAAAAGTGACAAGATCTAGGAAAGTGTGACTCATGGAGTTAGGGAAGCACAGAGGGGAGCCTCTAATCCAGAGAAGGCTGCCAGGAGGACCTCACTGAGAAGGTGATTTGGCTTAACTCCTCACCTACCCTAGAGGGATGACTGGCATATGCCATTATTTTCATGGTGTCCTGCTTGCTCCTTGACTTTCCCTGACCCTTGATAAGTTTTTCATCTACCCAAGTCTCCGTTTCCTTATTTTTAATATACCAATAACAGTAAAGTTCCCACGTGTTTTTCAAAAAATAAATAAATAAATAAATGAAACAACATGTATAGCCCGAAGAAGTTACCTGTCTTAGAGTAACAACTTGCTGCATACTAGTGAGTCACTTTATATAGTATTCTTGAGTGTTTAATAAAATATATTTCTTTCCCCTAATATTATTTTCTAATTTATCCTCTAAGTATGTAAGAGGGCACTGGATCCCCAGGAACTAGAGTTATAGGTGGCTGTGAGCTGTCATTTATAAGTTGGAAATTGAACCAAGGTCCTCTCCAAGAGCAGCCTGTGCTCTTAACTGCTGAGCCATCTCTCCAGCCCCAAGAAAATATATTTTAATGTGATTTTTTTTGAGACATGTATGCCATGCTGGCCTCAAACTTCTGAACCTTCTGCCTCCACTTGCCGAGAGGTATGTACTGCCATGTCCAGTTTATGTGGTAACAGGGATAGGACCCAGGACTTTATGTGTGTTAATGGAGTTACATCCCTGGACCTTCAATTTAACTGTACTCATTAAAGGGAAATTTGGGGCATTTTTGCTAAAGAACAGCCTCGTTGTTGTAGTGTAACTCCAAGACTGTTGTAGAGAAAATTAGCTCATGTTTCCAGACTCACAGGGGCAATGGGTGAGAGTGTACAGTAGTTAGGCATGGCAGGGACAGACATAATGTAGACAAATTACCATTATTATAATCTTTTAATAAATTGAAAGTGTGAATTTATAAAAATAATTCTGTGGTTTGCACCCAAAACACATTAATTAAACAAACCTACTCTCTAGTTTGTCTTGTTCTAGAACCAAAGAGTTAAAGACATCCTTTTTGTAGATTATATTTTAATCTTTCTTTTTTCTCTCTGTGATTCTTTTGCTAGATTGAAATCTCCTCCTCCTCCTCCTCCTTATTATTCATAGGAACTTACAATGAAATCCAGGGCCTCATGGATACAGGTCAAACACTCTCCTACTGAATTGTATCTCAGACCTTTTTAAAAATTTCTTTTTAATAAAAAAATCACTTATTGTAATGAACTCACAAGTAAAAACATCACTCAACTAGGTGAATCTAGCCATTCAATTACTTGTCCAGTCTCTAACGTTATACTTCTCAGTGAACTTCAGGATGGTTAGGTGGCCTTTCTCGCGCTTTACTTAGGGTTTTTAACTTTCACTGTCAATTACATTTTAGGGATTTATCAAACACACACACACACACACACACACACACACACACACACACCCTAAAAGACTTGAAACCAGAAAAACAATTGACTTTATATCACTTTTCACAAATCATGTGTCATTTACCTGCATTTCATTTTTCTTGAAGACATCACCTGATAACTTAGGGTTTCTATTGCTGTGACCAAAGACCATGACCAAAAAACAAGGTGGGGAGGAAAGGATTTATCTGGCTTACACTTCCAAATTGCTGTTCATATTGAAGGAAGTCAGGACAGGAACTCAAACAGGGCAGGATCCTGGAGGCAGAAGCTGATGCAGAGGCCATGGAGGGGTGCTGCTTATTGGCTTGTTTCCCATGGCTTGCTCAGGGAACCCAGGACCACCATAACAGAGATGGCACTACCTACAATGTACTCCCCCAATTGTCACTAATTGAGAAAATGCCTTATATGTAAGCTGGATCTCAAGGAGGCATTTCCTCAGCTGAAGTTTTTTCCTTTCTTATGATTCTAGCTTGTGTCAATTTGACACACAAAACCAGCCAGTACACCTGAGATGAGCCTTTTTTGTTTTTTGTTTTTTTTTTTTTAAATAAATGTAATATACTCACCTTTTTACTAAATGTAATATATTCACACTAACAGCTACTCACATGTAGTTAGAAGTATTCCTGTGTCCCACCTGGCCCAGAGTTGGAACAAATCTCTCTCACCTGCAGACCCACATCCACTTATAAAATAATCACTTAGAGGTTTAATTTAATATTAATCACAAACTGTATGGCATATGTCAGGCTTCTTGCTAGCTAGTTCTTTCATCTTAAATTAACCCTTTTCTATTGATCTATGTATTACCACATGGCCATGGCATTACCAGTCTGCTGGCATGTTGCTTCTTGGTGGTGGCTCAGCATCTCCTCCACCTTTGCCCTTCTACTTTCCTCTCTTTCTCTTGGATTTCCTGCTTGGCTATAACCTGACTCACCATAGGCCGGAGCAGCTTCTTTATTAATCAGTCATAGCAACACATATTCACAGAGTACAGAAAGACATCCCACAGCACTTACACATATACTTACATGTTTTATACACTAGGCTCCACATATGGGGGAGATTGGATCACCATATTTAACAGTATACATTCTAAGGCAATCTATTTTCTTGAAAATTTTGTGACTTCAATTTTTTTTCTGATAAAAGAAATCTGGTACACATAAAAAGTCAAATACTACTCATGTTCAAAGAAAAAAATTTATTATACCTCTTTATTCATGTTGTGCCCTCAAGTGTGCATGAGTTTATGTATTTGTGTGCTGGTACCATGGCACATGGGAAGAGGTTAGAGGACACCTCTCAGAACTAGACTCTCTCTCAACCACCTGGATTATGGGAATTGAACTCAGGCCATCAGGGTTGTTGGTAAGGACCATTACCCTGGAATAAATTCTCTGGCCCCTTAAGTAAATTGTTAAAATACTATGTTTTGTTTTTGTTTACCCAGGGCATTTGTTACATTGGGAGTTTATGGACAGCACAGAATGCACTAGACCCATCTTAAAAAACCAAACTATCAAGGAACCCAAGTAAAATAAGGAAGTAGTGGAGTGGTGTGCCTCTTGTCTGCCCTGTATCTCTTGGGATGTTTGAGGGGCTACCTGAAAGAGTTTTGCTGTATCAGGATTTCCAGCCGTGATGTCCCAAGAGAATCAAACCGGGCAGCAGAAACTCTTTTGAAATCTCCCACCCCTGTACCAAAATGATTCACGAAGACACCAAGCCTGCAATGAGCACAATTTATTTTTTCCTGTGTCATTAGCATTCTAGTTATAAGGTAAGTTTTTCTCCATGAATGTGAGTCCACAGACTGGAGGAGAAGTATGGGTCCTACACCATAAAGTTCTTAACGGTAGAACAGGAGCACAGCTGCTTCAGTTATTTCCTTGCTACTGCTGGACTTCGTGTGAGTTCCATATCCATCCCAATCAAATGAAGAGAAGTCTCCACACTGGCGAGGGTTACCTTCTGGGAAGAATCCTCCTCCACCAATGCAGTTCTGGAAAAGAAGAGAGAGAGGAAGGAGCAATGAGAGGTCAGCTGGTGATATGGTTTGGATATGAAGTGTCCTCCCCAAAGGTGTTATGCACTGAAGACCTGGTCCCCAGAGTAGGTAACTTCCAGAGGCAGGACTTTGGGAAAAGCTTGACTATAAGGACCCTGCCTTCATCAGTTGGCTAATCATGGATGGGTTCACAATTGGAGAACTGACTATTGGAGCTGTGTAAATTGGGGTCTGGTTAGAGGAAATAGATCACTCAAAGTGTGAGTGGCATGTTTTGAAGGGTATCTTGTCCTGGTCTTTTCTAGTCTTTCTTGGCTCCTTACTGCTATGCAGTGAGGCTTATTGCTCTGATATATCTTTTTTGCATGATATTTATCATGCTCCACTATGGATTTAAAAGCAAAAGAGCCAAGTGACCATGGGTTAAAATATCAAATACAATGAAACTACAAAGCCCTTTGTCTTAGTCTGTGTTACTATTGCTGTTTTGAAACTTCATGACTGTTGTAACCAGATTCTGCCAAAGACCACCAAAAGACCAAATCTAGTGCAAAAAGCAAAGAGTCTTTGTATTATTACAAGTTAACTCAGGACTCTCAGCCTGTCTGATGGCAGCAGCAGAGCAGGAGAGACCCCGAGTAGCAATGGGGCATGTTTTCCAAGACAGGGTTTCTCTGTGTAGCTTTGTTAACTGTCCTGAATCTCAATTTGTAGACCAGGCTAGCCTCGAACTCACAGAGATCCACCTGGCTCTGCCTCCCTGGTGCTGGGTTTCGAGTTGTGTACCACCCACCGCCAAGCAGGGCTGGGTTTTTAAAGCAAGGAGGCTTGGGATCTACAGACTACATAGGAACTGACTCAGGATTGATTTATGTGAGTGGCAATCATGTTAGAAACTTTTAATTGGCTACGGGTTACAGTTATCCATTTTTGGGTAGGCCTGGACAAGTCCCAGGCTTTGTCTTTGAGCTGCTATGGAGGCTGGCTGGCCTAACACTGACTGACTGTGGGGGACTGACTCAGTGGCTCAGGCTCTGTCCTTGACTTAGGCGCATATCTCTAAGTTGATGAGGGGTCCCAAACAGTAAACAATTGACTGAAAATTGAGTGGTCAGAGTACATGCAGAAAGGGAGCTACTGCAAGAATTTTTTTTTCATGGCCCTCCCAGAAACTGCTTGCTCAAGTCTCAGGAAGCTGAAATTGAGGCCTGATGTCTGAGAGAAGACTGAGCAGCCTCTTATGGCTTCTGCTTGGTCCTGTCAATGACCAAAGCAACTTGGGGAGAAAAGGGTTTTACTTGGCTTATACTTTCACATTACTGTTCATCATTGAAGGAAGTCAGGACAGGAATTCAACAGGGTAGGAAACTAGAGGCAGGAACTGATGCTGAGGTCATGAAGAATGCAGCTTTCTTGCTTGCTCCTCATGGCTTGTTCAGACTGTTTTCTTACAGAACTCAGGAGCCACAGCCTGGGATGGCACCACGTACAATGGGCTGTGCCCTTCTTCATTAATCAGCAATTAAGAAAATGCTCAACAGGCTTGCCTGCAGCCTGATCTTACACAGGCATTTTCTCAATTGAGGTTTCCTCATCTCAGATGACCATAGCTTGTGTCAGGTTGTCATAAAACTAGCCAGCACATCCTTCTTTCCATATATTGTTTCTCTCAGGTATTTATCACAGAGGCAAAAAACTGACTAATACAGCTGATGAATCCAGTGATACCTCAATAGCCAAGTTCAGTGTACTCTTCATCCCTCATCAGACTCTCATTGGCAATATTCTATTTGATCCATAAATCCCCCTCCATTGGCTTTAGTGGCATCACTGTCTCTTCCTACCTTTCCTTCAAGTGCTCTGAGCCTTTGTTCTCAGGTTCCCTGTCTAGACTTTTCCTTCATGAATTCCTTAAGTTCTACTTCTTAGAGGGGACCCCTTTACAATTCTCTTATATGTTGTATTACATCTTTAGCTTTAGTTATGTATAATTCACTGATGGCTTAAAAATTCCTATCTCTAATCCAGATATTTCTTAAGTTCAAGACTTAATGATTAGGCTGCCATTTAGAATCACTACTCAGGGTCTTTACACTCCACATGACAACAAACAAACAAATAATCAAACAAAATAAAACAAAACAACAACACAGTTACTTACAGCCACATATAACTTAAAAATGGGGATTTACTTGGGGAAGTTCATTGATAAGTTTGCCATTGTGAAAATCATAGGCTATCCTTACACAAGCTAGAATGTCTATGATGTTAGTAAGCAATACAAATCCCCTGAGACTGTCATCATATTCAAAGTCCATTACTGATCAAAGCATGTACATTGGGGCTAGAGAGGTAACTCTGTGGTTAAGAGTACTTGCTGCTCTTGCAGCGGACCAGGTTTGGGTCCCAGAACCTATATGGGGCTCACAACTGTTGTAACTCTAGTTCCAGGGCATAGAATGCCCTCTTCTGGCTCAAAGGCACCAGGAACTCAAGCAACATACAAACATTTGTGCAAGCAAAATACTCATATATGTGAAATTAAATAAATACATCTGAAACAAGACAAAATAAAATCCCACTCAAACAAGCTAGTAGCATGGGGGCTGGAGAGATGGCCCCAAGGTTGAGACATCCTACTACTCTACCAGAGAATCAAAGTCCCAGCTTCCATATCAGATCCCAGCACCCAATCAAAAGACTTTAATGTCAATTCCCAGGGATCCAATGTCTCCTTTTTACCTCTGTGATCACTTGAATATACATGTGCACACATATAAACAAAATAAAAAATGTTTTAAAAATCCAGCATCATATAACTATGTACCTCTTCTTGATCCCAATCATTTTTAGCATCTAGAAATCTTGGCTTACTACTTGATATTCACCTACTCAATGAAAACCATGAAATTATTCAAAATGTTTGTTGTAGAATATTCCTTTACACTCTGTGAAGATGTGTCACTGTGATTGGTTTAATAAAAAGCTGAATGGCCAATAGCTAGACAGAAGTTATAGGCAAGACTTGTGAACAGAGAGAGATCAGGGAAGAGGAAAGGCAGAGTTAGCTGGGCGGTGGTGGCACATGCCTTTAATTCCAGTACTCGGGAGACAGAGCCAGGTAGATCTCTATGAGTTCGAGGCCAGCCTGGGCTACAAAGTGAGTTCCAGGAAAGGCACAAAGCTACACAGAGAAACCCTGTCTCAAAAAATCAAGGAAAAAAAAAAGAAAAAGGAAAAGAAAAAGAAAAAGAAAGGCAGAGTTACCAGCCAAAGGCTGAAGAAGTAGGATGGGTTAGATGGAGATGAGGTAACAAGTATGTGGAAAAACATACATTAAAAAATATGAGTTAGTTTAATTTACAAGAGCTAGTTAGAAACAAGGCTAAGCTAAGGCTGGGCTTTCTTAATTAATAAGTCTCTGTGTCATTATTTGAGAGCTGGTTGGTGTGACTAAAAAAAGACTCATTACAAATGTCTTCTCTTCCCATTCTCTGTATTCAACTATTAATAAATTTAAAATCTTTGGAATTCATTAGTCTCCCCCTGCACCAAATTTCGATCACACTATATCAGGCTCTCATTTGTGCCATAGAAGACATTTTAATATTTATTTCCTTATGATTAGTCTTTTCTCCATTAGAATATGTCACCTCTAGACTATCAGTGTCCTCTTTGGGAAAAAAGAATGCTCACATTTATCTTATTGCCTGTTCAAACATTGCAGGGGGTTCTCATCGCTTATATAGTCCAAATATCATTGATGTGATGTAAAAGTTGTTTCCTGATTTAGTCCATGTTAAAATTTTCAAAAGGAGCACTTTCTGTATCTCACACCCATGTTGCATACCAAAATTGAAAACAGCTTTCTACTTAATCAATACCACAGACTCTTCCCATTTCATTATTTACAACATAGTCCTCCTTGACAGCAAAGCTGCCTCATCTTGGCCAGGTGAAAGACAAGCTAATGACTGAGGAATGAATGGACACTGAGATCTTCATGATCACCTGCCAGGAAGTGATTACCCTTTTTTCAGACTGTTACTTTAGGGAGGTCTGGATCCCAAGAGAACATGTTAATTTTATTCAAGACCAGTTCTTACTATGTAGCTCTGGTTGACCTGGAACTCACTGTGTACACCAGGGTGGCCTGAAACTCACAGAGATCTGCCTGTCTTTACCATCCAAGTGCTGGGATTAAAGATGTGCATCACCATGCTCGGCCAGAATATGTTAACTTGTTATAGCTTTCACTGTGGCAATAAAAGGACTTCATGCTCAGCCTGCTTTTGGCAAAAAATTAAGAAACAAAACAAACCATTATGAGTCTAATGATCTCA